ATAAACCAGATAACAATATGTGTAAAGGAGCATATGATCAACTAGGCTGCCAAAATCACTAAAGAAAAAAGATACATAAGTATACCATACCAGGCCATTTGAATTGGAAGTCTGGGGAGTTGGTTAGTTTCAAGTTGTAACTAGTAGGGGATAATAGAGAAGAAGTCAAAAAAATGAGTATTAGGGTTTAAGTAAACTTTACAAAAGTAATAGTAGTTTAATGAGTAATCCTAACTGCAAGTGTTGGTTTTAGCTATAGCATCAAACCAGGTTAGCAGTAAAAGGAAATACAGCTCACTCTGGTAGGTTTGCTTCAAGGATAAAAATAGTCTAAGGATTATAGTCTTATAGTTAAATGCAAATAGATCTGAATCTGTGATTTGGTAAAATTAATACTAGAGTCAGATCAGAGGGTTTAAATAAAACATCTAAACAAGGGTGTTAGGTATGGCAACTGGTAGAAAATCTCTAAATAGACTCTTTAAATAGGTAATATAAAAATGTTATATATGTAATCAGTTGAACACTTGTTTGATAGTTCATTATAGATTCGTCTATATAAAACATGTATCTGATATAAGTATTAATAAAAAGTTAGAACAAAAAAGGTCATCTTAATACTGAAAAAAAAAAATCAAACCAAAAAATATAGATTAAACTTACAAGTTAATATTAAAAAGTCAAATATTATAAAAAATAATAAAAGATATTAAAATATTTAGATTATATATTAAAATACAGTTTAGAAATTAGAACATATAAATATAGATTTATATATAAAAAATAAACAGGTTTTATATAAATTATTAATTAATTAACTAAAAGCTTTTTAATAATTTTTGATTTATATAAAATTAACTACAACTATATATTAATACTTAATAGTATAACTATTTCTTTTTTTTTATTACTAAAAAAAATAATTTAAATTATAACAAAACTTTCTAACAAAAAAGCCTATAGTCTTATAGATATTAGATATAAAATGCTTAAATATATAAATATTATTTGCATTAAAGTTATAACTTTTCTATTTAATTATTAACTTACTTTAAGTCAAACTTCTAAATAATAAAAGTATAACAAAATTTATTTTTATTTCTAAGTAAATATATTTAATAAAAATCTTAATCTTACTTATTTAATAAGTCTTATAAACTATATTTGCAAAAAATTATTATTAATAAAATTAGTAATAGAAATTTGTTAATGCTACTCTTTATATAATTTAACTCTAATTAATAATTAGAGTTTGAAAGATTAAAGATTAAAAATTTTATATAAAAGAGATGACATTAGCAAAAGTAGAAGATGGCATTAACAAATCTTTATTACTAATCTTTTTTTTTTCTTCACTTAAGTAGTCTTGTTAGTTTATCTTTATTAGAATTTTTTTGTATACATATATACAAAATTTTGTATAATTTTTTTGCTCAACATTTTGTAGATACTTTTACAAGCCCTATGAGTAATCTGTCTGCACTAATTATCTAGTTTCATAAGAAATTAGAGTATTCCAGAGGCTGCATTTGACCACTCTCTATAATAGGATATTGTTAATCTGATAATATCTTCTTATAAAGAAGCAAACAAAAACAAAAAAAAACTTATATAAAAAAATACAGAAATATAGAAAAAGATAATAAAAGATACAATATAAGAAATAAAAAAGAAAAGATGAAAAGTAAAAAAAGAAAAAAAAATATATATATAACTCTTGCTATATAACTATCAAATAGTCACAATTATAAGCCTATGTTAGGTTTTTAAAAATTATAAACTATACTAAATAGAATTAAATCTACTATTTTTCTATTTATTTAAAATATATAATAAAAACTATATAGGATAAAACTTTGACTTAAATATAGAGAGTTGATATGAGTTACTGGTTAGTTTGAAAGCAATATTTTATAAAGTTTCAACAGTTCAAGGCATGTATGTGTATAAGTCATATTTGTATTGCTATATTATTTTTAATCTATACAGTATTAATTTTGTTTAGAAAATAAATACTAATAACTGTTTTGATAATTTTATATATTAATCTTTTGGAGAAGGTAAATTAAATTACCCACTTTTATAAAATTTTTCTCAAAAAAAAGTAAAGGCCAACAATTTTTATATATAGTTCTTCAAGTAAGTTTTACAGTTATATAATAGTTGTTTCAAGTTTCTAATAGTTCTAGCTTAGGTTTTTCTGCAATTGTTTCTAAAATACCTTTCTAGTTTAGATACTAAATAGAGAAAGAAGTTTACCAAAAAGAAATATTTAACCTCTCTTTAAACAACTGTAAGTATGTCTGCTCTTTAGTGTTTTACATCTATTTTGGCTTTATCAATAACAACCTACTTTACATAGGACCAAGAGTATTTCTTTCTTGACTTTATTATAACATTTTTCTATAGTTTAATTTCTTGTTGTTGGCCAGAGAATTGTCAAAAGGAGTTGATTACTAATCATATTAATTTTTAATTTATTTTTTAAATATAAAGTAAATATAAATATTTGATAAAATTAACACTTCTTGCTAATAAAAGTCTGTTAATAAATTTAAAAACTTTAATTTTTTTTTGAATTATAGAAATTTAAATCTGCTTTATAATATAGAAGAATACAAATTAAATTTTATATAAATTATATAATAATCTTTATATGATAATTTTTAACTTCTCTATAAATATTTTAATAAATATAATAATTATTAATATTAATACTTATATATCAAAATTGATTATTTTATTAACTAATCTTATTAAATAAACTAATTATTATATATATAAAACTATATTGTTTAAAAATATTAATAAATCCAAAAGATCCAAAAAGTTACCTTAATAAAAAAACAAAAAAAATAAATAATTTTACTCAAGCCTTTATTTAAACTCATATTGATAAGCAAATACTATTAGGTCTAATAACCAATAATGTTTTGACATTATTTAAAATAACAAATACAAATATAAATATGCTTTTTCTCATTTATTACAATATTATTTCTACAATATATAAAGAACTATAACTTTCTTCTAGAGCAATCTAATATAATTTTGTTTTTCTAGTTTATTACTATTACAACCTTCAACAATAACTAAAATTAAACCAATTTTACTTTCCTTACTAAATAAAAAGATACACTATTATATCACTTATGAATAATCTTTTCTTTGTTACTGTATTATAGATTAAAAATCTATCAACTATTCTAACAAAGAATAGATTAAGAGTAAAATAACTTTTACCTTCATATTTCCTAACTTAGTTTATTCAACATATATCTTATATATATAAATTAACTAATCAATAAAAAAGATAAAGAATAGACCTTTTTTTTTTAAAAAAAAATATTACAATGTAGAACAGCTTTTGATAATATAAAATTTTAATATATCAAATTTACTAAGAAAAAAATACTATATTTGCTTTTATTCCTAGTTTCTAATATAACTGTGTCATTATGCAGCTGCCTTATTTTAAAAATCTCCACTCAGCTTAATTTTGATTAAGAAAATAAATAGTTGTTATTAAAAATTATATAAATATTAAAAATTTAAAACTTATTATAATAGTTGTATTTATCCATCTTACAATAATTTGTTTATAACAATTATTTAAATTTTTACATTGCTTATTGCTAAGTTATGCAACATTACTTAGTTTTTTTTTTACTTGGACAATGTATAAGCATAATGATAAATATTCAATCTTTAGCTATCTGTTTTATATACAATACAGCCATAATATGCAATTTATATATTACTTACAAATATCAAATATATAATGACAAAAAAAATATCTAATAAGTAAAATAATTTCAAGCTTGAAAGAATTTTAAAGTTTGTATTAAAATGTTTTGATATTATAACATTACAGTATTACAGCATTGCTGCATTACAGAACAAAAAAATTACAGAAAAAAATATAGCATATGCCATTACCATATTAATTTACAAACCCAATTCTGCCAACAACTATACATTTGAAAGTTAAATTATCAACTTAAAGTATTATGTACTTTCTTTATTGATGTTAATAATTTAGGTTATATTTGATTTTAATGTGCTACTTGTTTATTCTTTAGAAGTGAGCTTTTGGATTTCTTGTGCTGCACATATACACTTTTTTATGCTTTGTCATTGTAAGATGATTGTAGTTTTTGGATTTCTTACACTATATATGAAATGTCATTCCCTTTTTGAATGTGATAATGCATTGCCCCAAAATCTGAAGTTCTTGAAATTCTTAACTATTAATAATATATTAAAATGCATTATACATTGATTGCTATCTTGATATACATGGATCAAATTTATTATAGTTATTTAATTTATATATGAATCAAACCATTCAGTGCCAAGATTATGATTATAAATGAATGAAAATATGTTAATTGAATATAGCAACTCTATTATTTCTAATATATCAATACTATTTGTAATTTGCGAAAAAATAAAGATTGACACAAAGTGTATACAGAGGAAAAATAATATTAATATTTACTGAGCAACCTTTCCTTGAATCGAAAAAATATAGCTTATATTAAAAGTATTTAATAATAAGCTTTTGATTTATTTAAAATTTTAAAGTTATCAAAACCTTAAATTTGCATTTGCTTTGAGTAAACGTGATAAAACTTATCAAGTAATAAATAAGATTAATAAAACTATAGCTAAAAATAAAGCTTTAAAAATAGATAAAAGATGGTATTTAATTCTGGTAGGGGCATTGTTTTGGAATTCTTGATTAAAGGATTAAAAATAAAAACTCCTCAAACTATTTCTGTCATTTAAAGATAGTACAATTGCTTATTCCTCTCTATCAGAAAAATATTATAAGAACATTGTTGAATTTTATCTTTCTATAATTAATTATTGTAAAAAATCAAATAATTCAAGTAAAAAAAACTTTGCAGATTGGTATAATTTAATTGAATGTTATTGGGTTGCAGTCTTTAAATGAAGATTTAATTTAGACAAAATGTCTCAAGTTGATCAATGATATGTACAATGTTTTAGAAGTTACAAAGAAAGCTTGTTGTGAAAAATGTAAGGAAATAATTAAAGAAAGAGAAAACTTAGATAAAGATCTTAAAGAAAAAAAGAATAAGAAATCTAGAGAAGAAATTAATGAAGCGATTAAAAACTATATTAAGTAGTGTTGTGAATCAATTATCATAGAGCTTAAGCAAATGATTGATGTTGATTTAATGCAAAATAAACTCTCTATAAATTTATTGATGAGCAACTTGAAAGGGTTTTAAAAAGCCAGAAAGAGTTTTCAAATGAAAAAGATTGTAAGTAAGAAGCCAAAGAAATATAAAGTGACAAAATAGAGTCAGAAAACAAAGATTTAATTACAGATAAAAAGATAAATAAGAAGGTACATAAGGAATATAAAAATCATGTTTCAAATATATTTTGGAATATGTACAATGCTGAAACTTCTCCTAATTTATCAATTAAATATAAAACTATCTTTCAATCAAAAGCCAAATTGATGATATAGTAGACAAAATTTTAAATATTAATTTTATATAGGAATTGTGGATAAACTTAAAGATATGTAAAATAAATAAACTTTTAACTTTGAAAGGAAAGTTTAAGCTTAAATCTAAATATATAATTCATGCATATGCATTATGGCATTTTAAAAGAAAAATAATCAACATTCAAAATAAATAGAACAAGAATAATACATTGGTTGGAGTGCTTGATCAAATGAAAAATGTCTATTTAGAAAATATTAAAAATTGTCTTCAATATAGCCATTCACATCAATATGAAGGTTGTATAACAAGAGTCTATTTACTAAGAGCTATTTAAGTAAAAGCAATAAATACAGCAAATATGAATCGAAAAAGTTGTGTACTTGGAACAATGAATTGGATAAAAGATTCTTGAAAGGTTAGAATTAAATATTTTATTGTGCTCACTGACAAAGTTCATAAAAATGATATAGATAAAAATATACAACACTTTTTAAAGCTATATAAAAGTATTGAAAAGTAGTTTAAAGATAAAATCGATTTAGTTAAAGGAAAAAAGATCAAAAAGGCATATATGATGATACTTTTAATACAGAATTTGACTATATATATTAGAGAATCCTTAATTGTAAAGGATACAATAATATCAAAGAGTTTGTAAATAATGATATAACACAAGTTAATGGTATTAATGATGAGTTGAATGCTGAAGATAATACAATTGCAGAAAACTTCAACATCATTTAGAATGCTATTATCAAAGAGCTTGATGATAGTAAGAAGAATGATCATTACTAACTAAAAGATAATCTATCACTATTACTAAAACTATCTGATAGTAATGATGTAATGAAAATGCTCAGATACACAAAACCATGTTACTGATATAAAGCTTTGTGCTATGAACTAAGAGATCATGATAAGGATAGTGACAATTGGGATATCATCATACTAATCATTAACTGAGAGGCTTTGCTAGCATATATAATATAAATACAAAAAAACTATGAGCACAAGCATGTCATGATATTTTAGACTGATATGCATTATCAAGGAAAAATTAATAAATAGAAAATTGCAAAGTCTGAAGATTTCAAAGATTGGAAATTTGAACTTTTCGATTATTCTGATGATGTTCCTGTATGAACCCTAAGTATTCCTGCACAAATTCCAAGTATCTTTGCATAAATCCAAGTGTCTAAACACAAGCCTCAAATGTTTCAAACACAAATGACAAATAATATAAAGAATATCTCCAGTTGCTTCTATATAGTCTCTACTACTCCAAGCACAGTATCATTTAATATTGTTCAAACTTCCACTATCCCAAGTACAATAATATTTAATGTTGTTCGAACCTCTACTATCCTAATTACAATAATATCTAATGTTGTTCAAACTCCTATTACCCTGAGTACAATATTAAGTACTGTTGCTTAAATCTCCACTATCTCTACTAGATAAAAAGATATATAAAGAGTAGCTTTTACTTTTTTCTGCCAATTCTAAATTTCTATACTTCAACCTAGACCCTTCTACCTTTACCTCTAACTTGTAAAAGTGATACTTCCTCTCTAGAGTAATTCTTATAGGCAAGGTTGTCACTGTGTGTTTATTTAATAAAAGTTAATTTATATACTGTTATTATCTCAAACTGTTTGCCTGCTGCTGTGTAGTAAAGTAAACTACTACACCTTCATTCCATATAGATTTGCAATAGTCAATCACTGTACCAGGTGACCTTGTTACTTGGTTGTATTGTACCAAAAAGACTACAACTCTGTAACAATATGAGTCCTATTTTTAATATACTTAAAAGAGAGAAAAAAAGCTATTATTATTACAATAATAATTAAATACATATTCAATTGAGCTACACTTTGTATAATTAGTTTTTTTTTAGTTTCAAGAGTGATTTTGCCTATGTCTTTTTTATTATTAGTAATATAAGATTACATATTATATATTATATGCAAAATATATTAATGAAAGGATATGTATAACTTTAGTCATTATCTAATTAAGGGTTTTGCCTATATGATACCTATTAGATACTATAACTAAGACCTACCTATGAGTTTTCTATTTAAATTTTCTGATTTTCAGCACTTTCTGGATATATATACAATGTATATTACTATTATTATAATAGAACAGATTAGGGTTATCTAATTATTATTTATATCTAAGTACCATCTTATTGGATATTACTAAATATCTATAGTTTTTCAAATTTATCCTCAATGCAAACTTATTAAATATATTATCAAGATTATCTCTTAGATTTTATTCATTTTAATGTATTTCATATCTATTAAACTAGTTTGATGTTAGAGGTGTTTGAATTTCAATAAGTTTATTTATTTCTTATAGTTTTTTTTTATATTTACTATATCACTTACTAGTGTGCCTTCTCTTCATTTCTGATATGTTCACTACTTCTTTCATATTGAGCATCAATTCTTCATATCAAAAAACTTCTTTTTAAGAACTTTCTTATATACTTATTTTTTATTCATATAGACTTAAGTTACAGAGTTTTATATATATTTATATGCTTCTGTAGATTACAAAATTTTTGTCTTCAGGGTGTGGCGACCTAGTGAAGTGGTCAGGTTGTCAACCCTCCAAGTGGTAGGTTGGATGTTCAAATCCTATCGACAGTGAAAATTTGGATAATCACCTATGTAA